AGCAGGGGCAGCAGCTCAGAGAATGACACCGTGTCTGCAGCGGTCAGAAACTCAAACCCTCTGATCTCGGCTCGGAGTCTCCTGCCTCCCAGCTGTCACTGTGCCTCTGGCATCCCACTCAACCCCCCCACCACCCTCCCGCCTGCTCCCTTTGAAGGCCGCTACCCAGGAAATTGAAAGATGTTTTCAAACAAAGACAAGTGAGGAGAGAAAAGCAGAAGCTCTGTGAATCTTTGAGTAGTCTACGAAAGAAAAACTATGGAATTTTAAACTTAACAAGCATGCTTTTGCATTTGGAGAGAAAGGTAATTTTCAAAATAATTCTAAGAGATATCAGGAACTTGACAAGCAGCTCATTACAACGTTTCGGACACAGCAGTGTTTGTTTGCAGATAAAACCTGGAAACAGAGGTGAGAAGTCTGTCTTTGTTTTTTTGTTAAAGGACTAGTAAACTTCTGCAAGTGACTAGAAAAGGTAATAGAAGGATCCAGTAGGCAGCAACAGAAAGATAAGGCTTACATACTGAAGCAGGGAAGGAAAAATAACAAATAAAACAGAGGAGCTAATCATAGAAAGTGAGGAAGCAGTTGGGGCAGAGACCGAATGTAGAGCAGGTGAAGGAGGAAGACTAAAGATTTACTAAAAATAAACTCAGGGGGAAATGTCTAACACAAAACACCAAAAGCATCAAAAACACAAGAATAAACAAGGGGGCTGAATGGAGAGAACCCCATTTATTAACATGGAAAACAGCTAAATACATGAGCACAGTGGGAAAAAGATGAATTAATCCCTATCCATATAGACAGCACATTATAGCATGATATTTACAGATGTTTTCATTGGATCAGTGCTGCAGAATTGGTGGTAAATCTGTAGAAATACTACTACTACTAATACTACTGCTACTTTGTACCTCCTGTGATTCCCTGAACACACCTTTCCAACCCTTAAAATCAGTAGAAACAGCATCAAGCTGAGTGAACTTTTTTTTCTTTAAGAGTGACATGGTAACTGAACTGGGTTGATGGTAACTCCAATCTTGGAAGAGCCTGTATGTGTTCCTGCCTCCACTTAATGGTGGATTCTGAGGACCAGGATTGAAGACTCCTGTTTTTGAGGCTGCCGAAGACTTTAGGTTAGATTCCCAGTGGAAACAAGCAATAATAGAAATTGCTTGCTGTTTTCCTCTGATCAAGATGGAAGTAAGTAAAAATATATTCAAATCTTTAGCCTAAAGAAAGAAATGAGCATTAACCAAGCTGATCCTGTCTTTCAAAGTAGTAAAACTATTGTTATCTCATTAGCATCAGAGTGAGTATGCATTGGTGCTTCTGCTCTACTCTACTCTGTTTGCTCTGAAGCGTTCAGTAGAATCTCTGGTCCAGTCCAGCTTCTTTCACGTCTCCAATACAATGCAGAAGTGTGCCAGAGCACCGGGGTTCCCGTGGTTTACACTGCAATAACAGTTAGACAGGAGCGGGGCCAGGCAGAGGGCAGATGGTTTTGTGGTTTGGCTCAACAGCCGCCAAGCCAGAGGACAGGCAAACAAACAGTGATGGACAGGTGGGCGTCTTAGAGGGCTGCTGCCGCTGCCAGGAGGACAATCAGATGGATGGCTGCAGTGCAGGGTTCAAACTGGCATCTTGGCACGAAAAGTCTGACTGGTGCAAAGCAAACAATGTCTGCTTCTTTAGATGAAAAGCAGAAGGCTGGTCAGTTGTTCCAGAACGAAAAACGACTTTGGAATGCTTCAGCTTAGAACCATAAAGATTATTAATGCGACTGACATTTTAGATTTAAGGACATCCACCTTAATTTTCTTTACCCAGAGCAACTTTCGTTAAGAGAGAAGTAATTTATATTTTCTCTTCTGAGAATTCTCACTATAGTAAAATATGATTGCAAATTAGATTCAATAATATTACTTATACTAATTGAACTTTATTGATCTCATATTAAAGAAATGTACCTCTGCATTTAACCCATCCTTTAGGGAGCAGAGGGCTGCCATCGTGGGGCGCTTGAGGAGCAGTGTGGGGTTAAGGGTCTTGCTCAGAGACCCAGAGTGGCAGTGGAAGAATGACAGTTTAAGCAATTTCCAAAAAAATCTGTATTTTCTAGATGTGTTACATCTATACCAGAGGTCACGGATTAGCGGACCTGCTAACTAATCCGGACCCAACCTGATTTAAAACATTTATAAATTACCGCATGTTGTCAGACGAAAGTGTCTAATCCCGAAATCCCACATCCTCCGTCTCCCCTCCTCTGTGCTCCAGACCTCCTGCGCAAAGCAAAGCCTACAGCCTCTGCTGTTCCTCCCGTCTTGCCCCGCTCCGACTTCCTTGGAGCTCAAGGAGAGCATGCGTTATATTATTATTTAATTCAGGAGCAAAACATGTGGAAATGAACGCTTAATTTAATATGACATGAAAAAAATCCCCACCATCATCCTGCCAGCATATGTTCAGTTTCTTCCCACTTATTTTCTTTTTTTTGGTGGATTTTTGTAACAGGGATAATTAGGATCATACACAAATGGTTTGTATGAACAATGTTTGTTCTCTGCTTCCAAACTCATCAGCATCTCTTCATCCAGGCCTGAGATGAAAAGTTTCTTTTGAAGTTGTGAGAGGCATTCTTGGGCGTTTTGACTAGATTTAATGAAACGTTTAAGCCTCCTAGTATAAAATAAATATTTTGATCAAGATGAGAAATCTGCTTCCTGGTATGATGAAGTAACAATAGTTTGCATCCAATCATTTAATTAAACAGTCTTAGTTTTTGGGAATGTGTATATAAGCTCACGAATCAGCCTGGAATGGCTTGAAAATGGATTTGTCGTCATTTAAACCCAGGTTTAAAGCCTTGCAGGGCAGCCTAAAGCCCACTGCTCTCATTAAGCCATTAAAAATAATAAGAAATAACAAATGGTCAGTTCAGGTGTTTCATAAAATATGTGAGTCAGGAAATTGTCCATATATCAAACTGAACGAATGTTAATGAGGTTTTTATAAAAACCTAATTTTATTTCATTGTTAAATTCTGTCTAAAGTAACTGATTATAATAAAAAATGTCTCCGGACCTTTACTGGTTGATCATTTTCTTTATTCAGACCCGAATGATTTTTAATTGGTGACCCCTGATCTATACTGTGGAGTAAATAGTTCCAACTTTCATTTCCAACTTTTAATATCTAGGAAAATTTGGCTAAAATTGCAAATGTGACAGTTATAAAATGTCAACGTAATGTAAAGTTCTTAGTGTAAAAATAATATACATCACACAAACAGAGACTGGTGGTTATCACAGCAAATTAATATGTGTGATGTTTTATATGTCTTTTCATGCTATTATATGTCACTCAATTTAATACTGTGCCTGTCAGGAAGTGTGGTTCTTGGATCTGTACCCAAACTCAGACGGGAAGACAAAAGCAGCATGGTAAGTGAAAAAAAAGGATCTAATAAAAATGAGAAGCAATGTCTTACAGCTTGACTTGAGGAATGGCAAGAAACAAGCAAGTAGATCAGTATAAACCAGCGAGGAGCAAATGACTAAAAGTTTTCAGACCTTTGAGTTTATACACACAGGTGAGACAGGGAGGCTGATCACAAAGGGGTGGAGAGATACATGAACATACCTAACATAAAACTAACATGTAATCCTTGAATAAAATCACAGAAGGAAAAACACCAAACAATACTGAGCTTTGTGGAGTGATCTAAAAAAAAAACATTTAAATGGGCTAACTAGAGGGAACAAGGTCCAGATGAATAACATAAAAAAAGTAAACCTTGTGCTGGTCAGTCACATTCAATCAACCCCAGGCAGCTTCTCTGTCTACTGAAGACAAGCCTTCCCACAGGATGATGCAGCCACCACCCTTTTATCAATGAAATGTTGTGAAATGTGTTTAGGATGATTTGTACTTCATTTTCTTTTCTTTCTTTTATGTTTTCTGTGCGCTCTACATGTTATTTGTTGCTCTTACATCAAGGTTAAATTCGTTAAGTGAGACTGGACAGATTCTCCCACCTGGGCTGTGGATCTTTAACCTTGTTCTGATCTGTTTTTTTAGTCTTACAACAAATCCTCTTGAAAGATGCTAATATGTCCGCCTCCGAACCACCAGCCATAAACCAATGAATTAGATTAGATTAGATGAGCTTTATTGATCTCACAGCAGAGAAATTCACTGCTCAGATATTGGCCTAGTAATTAAAGAAGAAGGTGCAAACAAGGAAGAAAAAGGTGCATTAAGAATAAACAATATATATACAGTATATCAAGATAAATAAGGATTAAGGTGCAAGTGTACATGTATCACACACAATGAAAAACAAAATAAAAATAAGAAATAAAAAAATAAAAAATACAAGGGAGTAGCACAGAGTGTCATATGTACAATCCGGATGGCTTATATACAGGTGGATTTACTTTTACATTAAAGTGTAGTAGGTGAGGAGCAACGGTGAGGTAGAGGTATGACTATTATATTCAGATATATTGCACAGTCAGCATATTGCACAGAATATTGCACAGTCAATGAATAAAAGAACTATAATATAGCTGCACAGTGTTTTTTACAGGAGTTATTGTGGTTATAGTGCAGTATTATATAGAGTCTGGAATGAATGACCTGAAGTGCCAGCAGTGTTTTTTAGGGCGGGACATGAAGGAATGACGCCAGTGAGAAGGGCCTTGCCTGGGAATTACAAACATGTTTAAAAAGGAAACATGAAAAAAAGGAACAAAGAGAAACGCTTTGTGCATTTGTAAATGGGAAACATGTTTGTGCTTTTCTTCTGACTGGAAATGGAAAAAGTATTATCTATCAGCTTACTCTGCTGAAACATCACGATTCGTCGCTCTGAATGGCTGAAAGCGTATTATGGAAGGCGGGTACTAGCTGGCACGTCACAGAATCAGCTGGAAGCATTCTACTACAGTAAACATCCCTCCTTTTCAGGGATAGACTGAACGGCAGCCATCCTAGATAATAAAGATAAGAAGAACTCAACTCAGTTCTACACATATCCATCTGGCTACTGTCAGGTCAGTGGAGCTTTGCTGTTCCATTTCTCATTTTTGTTGCCTCTCTGATTGCCGCTCTCCTTGGTTTACCTGTTAGTTTTGATGGCCGATTGCATTTAACCCATTCTTTAGGGAGCGGTGGGCCTACAAGGAGCATTCTGGGGTTTAGGGTCTTCTTTAGGGACCTGCAATCTGTTTTGAACCATAGATCACACAACCTCTCTAGATGTCCTGATCTTCATAACTTATCCATTGAAATTTTATTGCTCTTACTTCAGGAAAGTAGATACAGTATCTCAGAGATAATTTTGATTAAAGTGTTTTATTGGTTCAGGTTTCTCTCTGACATCTAATTCAGATCATCCTGTTAGGCTCTTATCAGTGGTGGCTTTCTCTCTGCACACGGTTCACATTCTTCAGTTACACTAAGGCACCGGCTGGACCATTACATGGCTAAATGTGAGTTAAAACATCAACCTATGTAATTACAGACTAAAGCAGCTTAAGAAGCTGGAAGCTCCATTACCGCAAGTTTGCTTCCACAACGCCTGAGAGCGCTGAGGTTTTTATTTCTATAATAACAGACAGACATGTAATCAGTTTTAGAAACATGAGGGACCACAGCTGTATATGAATCTGCTGCTGTGTTAACAAGGCATCCCCGGATGATGTTCTTCACGGTTCATGAATTTCTTATTGCAAAACTTTTGAATTAGCGTCTGATTTTATCTCTGCAGCCTCCTCTGGGATACTTTGGAGTTTTAAGAAGGATGGTGCTGATTTAAGAGCTTTTCCAGGTTTGGATGAAGATGACGCTAAGACGGTAGGTAATGGAAAAACATTTCTGTCTCCTGGCTATTATTTCTGTCGGAGCTTGCTTAAATGCCCCCTAGGTGACCCTCCTGTCTTGTGCATCCCCAACACACACTTGTCCACTTCACATACTTTAAGGACTAAAAAACCTTGTTTGACGACTAGGTGGACAATGTTTATTTTATTTAGCTTGACATATAATAGATCTACAACCTTTAATTCCAGATATAATTTTTTTCCTTCAATCTAGACAAATAAATATCATTTATACCCACAAATGTAAAAGGAAATAGAAAAACAAGATAATTTTAATTGTGATGAGCGCATAGTGTAGGAAACTTGCTGTATAAAAAAAAACAATATGTAAAGACTCAGCAGAGAGGACCCAGTATTCAAGGCAAGACAGACAGTGGGATTACTCCAAAGGCATTTATTAAAAAATCTGAACTGTAGTAGGGGCTAGGCATCTTAAGGCGGGAAACTCTGGTGTAACAGTTCAGTCCGTGCCCAGAGAACAAGGTAGGAACCAGCTCGTGGGCGGTTGGTGCCGCCTATAGTGTCCCAGATGGTGCAGCCCTGGAGAACAAGCAGGAGTTCAAAGTCAGGCCAGGCAAACAGATCAGAACAGGAACAGACAGGCTCAGAGGTCCAGCAGTCTGAAGACAGTTCAGGCAAACCATTTAGAGGGGAACAGGCAGGGTCAGTGGTTGAGAGGCAGAACAGGATCAGGTAATCAGAACCACTAAGGTAATGCAAAAAACCCTCTCATCACTGAGATCAGACAGGAACAGGCAGGCTCAGTGGTTGAGAGGCAGAACAGGTCAGGATCAGGATATCAGAAAAACCAAAGAACTCTAAAAACTCTCTCACCACTTGCTAGAGAGGACAAGATAATCTGGCCTTGATGACTGGATGCAATGCCCTTAAATAATGGCAGGAGCAGGTGGATCAGATGAGCAGTGATTAAACGGGCAGAGTTAGACAGGTGAATGGTGTTAATAAATAAGCCAATCATCAGTGCCAAGGTCATGACAAAATATTAAGATTTATTTATTTATTTATTTATTTATTTTTTTGGAAGAAAATATGATGTAATGCTGGGATGATGATATTAGTGGAATATCATTTAAAAAAACGTACTTAATGAGGAGAAGAAATTATCTGAAAAGTATCACTGGCACTTTAAGTGTCAATCTACTGCAATGCAATTTGTTTTTCAAAAACTGCCTTAGTTATAACATTTACTTATGTCTAAACATTTGTTTTATCATTTTCTGGCTAAATAAGAGCCATTGTGGAAGGTTCCAAAAGCCATGTTATGTTGAAACAAGCTATCCAGGTACTGTAGGCTCATTGAACCAACTGTCAGCTATTTAAAAAAAAAAAAACGTTTATTATAATTGGACAGATTTTTCATGTTTGTTTAAAAAAATGGGGATCCTAAGGCTAAAGAAGAACCAAAAATTCTTATTTTAATGAATGAAATAAAAGTTCCTTAAATGTATAATTGTGTTTTTAATAGTCTATTTTCCATTTAGAAGTATTTAGTTAAGGTCATGAAACTAGACTTCAACTAAAGACAGACTTCATTAAGAAAAAAACAGATCTCCTAAAGTTGTTTTCTTCTTTGCATTTTCATGTCCTCAGCCATCGCTCCAAAGAGTGATAATGCCTCTCTGGGTAAGAGTCATACTGGAGTCATCTAAAAACCACCTCTGCCGCCATTTGCACCCTCTCCACATCTATACCTCCACTTTCTAATCAAGGGCTGTAAGTTTTGCGACCTTCATCCCCAGGTGCAGAGGTGAAGGGTCAGGGCTTTATGGTGCAACAGGAGGAGGTCGGGACCTGGGCTCTCTGGAATTCTGGTGTCACTATGACAATCACAAAAGAGGAGGACAGGTATCCCCCAGGGGCTGCAGATATATTCTCATACTTCTAATAGAAGTGGAGGTTTACTGATTGTCTGGCGTGGCTCAAAACAGGAAATGAGCGTATAAGGGAAAACAAAAACAGTCAAATGGGAAAAGATAATTGCATTTTAGAAAGAAAGGAATGCCACCAGCTGAGGGGCGGAATCTCATATCCAAGTCATAAAGCCCTCCTAAACCACCTAAAGTCAGAAGCTTACTGGGACATTAGCTTCGCTCTCAAAGCGTCTGGTTTTGACTTATTAGTTTCTTGAATTGTTCCAAAGCTTTAGAAAAAAAATGCTGTTCTGTAAATAAACATTAAAGCACTTAATAAAAGTTAAAGTGACTCTCAGCAATGAGTCTTATCTCCGCCACCCTTTGAAATCGGAGCTCTAAAGACAGGCTCTGAGATCAGACAGAGAAACTCTTCAGTCCTTTGAAAATGAAAACAAGATCTTCTTGGTCCCCGTAGGCAGCACATGGAGACACGGTGCTGATCCAGAGCCAGCCGTAATACCAGCACATTGATGCTGCTGTTTGCTAAAAATGCAAAGAGAGGAGTGTCAACAGAGTAAAAGTTGCTTCAGAAATGAAAAGAGAAACAAGCCAGCAGCACTTTTATTTGGGGCCAAAAAAGCAGCAGAAAGTATCAGGTTCCACAGCAAAAAAATAAAAGAATTTAAAAATGTTTTAAAATACCACATGTCTTTGCTCTATCTTGTTTTTGCTGTTTCAGCTGCATAATTTTCTAAACTTGTGCTTGATCATTCATTAGATTTGGGTCAGGACTTTGATTAGGCCATTCTAAGATACCAAAATAAATTAACCTCTAACCCAGTCTCAGGTATTTTGCAGCCTTTAACAGTTTTATTTATTTATTTTTTTTATGGCAATTGTTCTATGTTTTTCTCTCTGGCAGCGACCCTCAAAATTATTTGGAAAACTATCATAACAGCATAAAGCTGCCACCACTATGTTTCAAAGCATAGGTAGTGTGTTCAACATGATGCACAATGTTCTTTTTTCCACAAATCTAATTTTCGCGTCGGCTATTTTTTTTTCTTCTGATCAGAGCATCTTCTTTAACATTAGCACTTACATTTTTATCCATTTATCTATCAACGATATCATGAAGCTCAAGGGAACCAGAGGACAGATATACATGTGGAGAAGTTTAAAGTAGAGTTATTTTATAATGATGGGTGGAGCTCTGCTCTGAAAATGGGAAGAGTATGGCACCACTTCAGACCTACTAACACCTGATCATCCACTTAATATCATGGATATTTGCGGTACATCATCAAAGGGATACAGCATATATGGAAAGCGGTGCTGTGGTCACATGTCACAGTGATAACAATGTGGGCCCAACTGCAAAAACTCTGTGTTACAAAAGAACAACTCTGCAAACCAGTTTAAGGAGACCATTTCCATAGTTAAACATGATGATGGCTGCATAATGCTTTCATTCTGTGGAGATGCCTTACTTTAACAGGGACAAAGATTATAAAAACAGACAAATTTGTCTTAAAATGTCCTTTTTGTACACGGTTTGTGGCGATAGACAAGAAAAATAACTACAGTACATTTCTCATAAACTGAATTCATTAAAATGAAAACTGACTGGGTGCTGGTAACATGGGTTATGTTTTGAGTTTTGTAACTCTTGAAGTCCCTTTATTTACATGGATTTGATTTTGAAGCAAAATCCACATTTTTAAAATAGCATTTCTAACATTGTCCCAGTTTTTAACCCCCCACCTCCTCAATGAATCCATGTGGCTTATTGATCTGTCCTAACAACCCAAAATAGACGAGGAAACTGGATACAGCACCTCTTCTATGCAGCCTGTCAGGCGATCCAAGAAGGAACAAGGGACTCAGGTGTATACAAAATAAAGAAATGGGCCACCACTTCCCATATCTTAAGGAGGCATATGAGTGAGGGGAGGGTAGGGGTCCTGCAGTTGCCCCCAGGGTAGGTCGAAGTCCCTGACCTAGTGACCTCTCCCTGAAAGAAGGGAATTTTAGGGAGGGAGAGGGAAACATGTCTGAGCAGAGCAAAGAGCAGAGGGGAACAAAGGCTGGACTCCAGAAGCATGTCAAGTACATTTAAGATAAAGATGACAATTCACAGAAAGGGATAATAAATCATTTGTGCATATCGTGTGTGTAAAAGGGCAGCACATCTGAGCTACCTGAACTGATTTTCTGTCGTTTTATTCTGCAAACATGATCACATCCTGCCCTGATAGCTGCAGATCAGATGCTCCTTCTCCCCTGGAGCCACTTCAGACGTTTGTTCATGTCTGTTGTTCTTCACTTTTCATCTTCAATCTGAATTAAAGAGGCAGGATGACCCTTCACCCCTAATTCATCTGTCTTCACAAACCATGTGCCTTCCAGATGTGGATGGATCTAATCCCGCTACTGCTAAAACTCCAACCGCTCAGTAGATGGCAGCACTCCTGGTTGGTTTACAAAAAACATTTATTAAAAATATCTTGGAATGAATTTTCTGAGTCATTAAATTGTATTTCAAGTTTTATAGTTAATCAGATTTAAATTCAGAAAGAAAGAATTAACCTTACAAGTCTACAGTGAGAGAAATAATCAACAGAAGTAGACTTGGGCATCCCATTTGTTGATTTGGCTAAATACAATAGTTTTTCAAAATAAAAGTGCAACTCACATCGCTTTTGTTGTTTCTTGGAAAAGATCCTAAAATATTCTGGAAAACTCAAAACACGCAAAATATTTGAACCTACAATGATTAACAGATTTAGTTTGTACAAAATTCACACAATCTTATAAAGATCAGTTGGGTGAAGATTATTTATATATGTGTCTTTATTGGATGCAGTCAATGGTTTCCACTATTGTTATCAAAATTCTGACCTGGTACATTAGAGAAATGGCAGGCAGAAAGGCGCTGCTGCCTTAATCCTCATAGTCATCATGTGAGATAACATACAATAACTTTATTGTTCATCATATTTCTCTGAGATGGAGATTTGTGTTTGACATCTGGCAGTGGTTCATAAATAAAAAAAATCCAATTTTTTTTGTGGAAAAGCCATATCCAGTATGAAGCATT